AAATTTGTTTTCGAAAACAAGAATTAAAAAAAAACACTGATTTTTTTTTCTGAAGAGGTGCGAAATTATTACTTAAGAAATCCCCCTTACATTGCCTTTGGTGCATTAAAAACCTCTCAGCTGCCGCGCGTGTTTGTAGGAAGGTAGTAAATCCCATCGCGAACTCGCGCGTAACGTGCCAAAACAAGTACTGAAAAGAGCACTTTTGTTCCCTGGCCTTAATTATCGAAAACGCGCGTGCTTCGATATTTTTCTTCTTAGAATGAAATAACGCACGCGTGTGTATATAATGTTTCCTTTTTTTTTTTTTTTTTGAAATATAATTTTCGCGCGAGAGTCAAAAACCGTGTATAGGAAATAATAAGTAGAGGGGAAAAAAAAGGAATTGACGCTGAAAGATATAACGAGAAAAAAAGTAAAAGAGAAGGTACATGAAATTTACGCCTTATAAAACCCACCTTAATTACAAAAATGGAATTTGGCAAAACGTTTAACGGCATGAAATCGATAACAACAAAAAAGGGAATGTTTAAATAATAGTTTTTACTTTTTTCCCTATTAATAATTATAAAAATTTAACATAACCTCAAAAAAAAAAATTCACGCGTCATTGTGAAATTGCTACTGATGACTGATTTTCAATGAGATCTCCGTTAAAATGTGTATAATTTATGATTTTTTAAAAAAAAAGATCATCCCCCTTTTTTTATGAGTCGACGAGGAAGAAGAATTCATGGGACTTTTTTTTAGAGGATTTCTTTAAAGAAAGACCGCTCAATTTAGGCCACGCCCTTGTGTCACTCACGTCTTTTTAGAATGCGTGTATATACCACCAGCGAAAAAAAGAAAAGAAGAATGACATTTTATTTTACGATTATTTCACTTAACATTTCTATAGATTTTTATATTTATTTTATCATATATTAGTAGAGAGTCATATTTTTAATTAATCACGCGATTTGTTAAAATATCGTAAGAAAAAAGAAATTAAATATATTTATACGCGACGATATAAAAACCTAACCTATAAATATGAGGGAAAAGTTTGAAATTTCATAAAATTTGGGAGTGACAATAGAACGAGGTGCATGAAATAGAAATAAACAATGACGCGATAAAAGTGTGAGGTTATTTACAAAAAATTTTAAAAGTGAAACTAACAAAACTTTTTTTGGAAAATTTTCTAAACTCTTTGGGAAAAATAAATTCTATTCTAATGTTTATTTACACTTTGGATTGATGAAAAAATTGTTTTTTGATTTGAATTGTTACGATTTAGTTTTCTTTAAAAAACATTTTTTCGATGTCCTCTTCTTGACTCGTTCCGTATTTATATTTCTCTAAGATGACGTCCTCTGCATATATATATATTTAATTGTGAAAACGTTGATTCGTCGTGTATTTGGAAATTAATCAGCAATCTGAAACAAAAAAAAAACATAAAAATATAAGTAAAGGTAATGTGATACTTTTTCAAAAAACAGATTGAAATTAAAAGAGCAATGAATTACATAAATTGGTACTCGATCTAAAAAGGATTTTTGAAAAGAAAAAAAAAATTTATATATACAACACCCTTTCTCAGAAAGGCACGCGCTCTCATATAAAGTGGCCGCGTGCACCGGTTTTTGACATAGCTGCGATATTTTCTTTTCTCATGTTGAAGAGACTCGATTCGATGAGACTTGACATTTTGATGGCAGCAATAAAAAAAAAAAAAACAATATAGACACGAGGAGCATGTCAGCTTATTACGCTCACATGGATCCCATAATTAATCAAATTAAAGGATCGTCAAGAACGCACTTAAAAAAAAAAAAAAACTCCGACTGACATTAATTTATACTCACACAATGTGTTGCAAAAAATGAATTCATATTATTCATAATAATTGAATTCAAAAAAAAAAATTAACTTTCTCCATTTCCAAATTCATACAAAAAAGTAGATTTTTTATTACAGAAATAAACTTCTTACAATGTAAACCGTTTTTTAAATTTTTTGATTTATATTACGGTACGTGTTAAAAGGGGGAGAAAAATAATCCACTTAAGAAAAATCATGACAAATGGGAGAGTTTAATCCAAAATATCTAGAGAAAATTTATTAATATAGAAATAGAAGGGGAGAAAGCCTCTCTGATAATCTCTGTAAATAATATACCTTTTTTCACCGATGTCATTTCCCAATACAAAAAATTGAAAATGGTCCGGAAGCAAGGATTGCTACCTGGTATATATACAACCTTTGAAAAAAAAAACTTGGGGACAGTAGAAAAGTAAAGAGTATTTATAAATACAAGAACAGAGAAGCCGCCCTATAAAATGAGTCCTAAGCAAATCGATATCCAACTTTTTCAAAAAAAAAAATGGTACAAATATTGTCACATCGATTAAGTAGGTACTATTTTCAAATTTTTTAAACATTCTTATTTTTAAAGGAAACGAAAAAAAGTTTCCGGCGCCAGTATATATTAGAGTCTGTTTTTCGTCGCACTACTCAAATTTCCCTTCTCATATACATATAGGGTCAAGTGTCTTTTTTTTGTAAACTTGTTTTACGAGAAAAATTGTTTGCAAAGTCCATAAATGACAAAAAAAAATATTTGTCTTAAAATTTTGAGGGAATATTATTGAAGAAATAAAAAAAAATTTTTTTTTTTCTATAGATAATTAACGGTGGGTTCTCACGCGGAGAATAAAATCAAATTTCGAAAGAAAGGGATGATATTTTTTTTTCGGACAAACTATGCAAATGTGAAATTTTCCATCGAATTAATGATGAAGGAGAAAAAAAAATCTCATTATGTTCTTTCTCTACCTCTCCCCGCCCGTCTGAATTTACTTGAAATAAAAGGGCTTGAAAAAAAAAATTGCAGGTAGCAAAGGAACGTCTTCGAAAGAGAGAGAATTCAGGTCGTCGAAGCATTGTTCCGGTTTTACTGTGAGAGGCCCCTCGAATAATAGCGACAAACTTTGATTCTTGCAATCTTTAAAAGAAGAAAAAAAAGAGGGGGAAGGGTCAAGGGGAAAAATTTGGGACGCAATTTAGTAAGTGCCTATCTGAAAAAGCAAATTTTTATATATAGAAGAGTGGATAAGATCGAAGAAAAGAGAGAAAAAAGAATCAGAAATGTAGGTTATGTTTCATTCTACACGCTCCACAATATATATCGGGTAATCGTTGATTCTTAATTCTTTTGAAAATTTTAATTAACCCCTCGACTTTTTTAGTTTAAAAAAAATTTACTTTTTTCCCCAAAAAAAAATTCCATTTTGCAAAAAATTATTTATGTCCCTCTTATACGTTCCGCGTGATACACCCGGTGTATCTGGATCGAGTTTTTCTTTCCCGAACCAAAAAAGCGAAGGGAGAGAGAAAGAGAGAGAGAGAGAGAGAGAGAGAGAGAGAGAGAGAGAGAGAGAGAGAGAGAGAGAGAGAGAGAGAGAGAGAGAGAGAGAGAGAGAGAGAGAGAGAGAGCAGGTAGAAAAGTCGTTGTTGTGTGCAATACATAAAGAAATCCTGCTCCAAATACTCTATAGAATTTAAGAGACCGGACTAAGTCGACCCCAAAGTTAGATTACAGGTAGGACCGTTATTTTTCGAGGTTATGACCTTTTTCGCGATTTTCTGCCGCAAAAAAAAGTGAGGTTATATTTTTATTTTAAAAAAAAATTTTTCAATATCTAAATGGACTTTGATCAAAAAATTGTTTTTTTGATTCGAATTGTTACGATTTAGTTTTCATTAAAAAACATTTTTTTCGATGTCCTCTTCTTGACTCGTCCGTATATTTATATTTCCTTAACGTTCTCTCTGAATATGTATTTTGTAAAAACGTTGATTCGTCGTATGTAATTGGAAGTTAACAGCAATCTGAAACAAAAATAAAAAAAAAATAAATTCAAAAGGTGTATAGGTAGGTTTTTCTTAGCACTGGTATCATTCCGCTTGGCATGCAAACTCATCGTCTCGATGACAAATGCTAAACAGACGCCACTCATGGCATCTTAATTTGCAGTTTGGGAAACATTCTAAGTTCCTTACTTGGACGCGCACGTACACGTCGTTTGCCTTGTCTTCTTATAAACGTCTATATCTAAGATTCTAACCTGACAGTGTTGTGTGTTCGTGACGTGAAAGGAGCCCCGTGCCACGAAACATTTCAGAAAATTAGTAAATTCAATACACGCGCCACGAAGAGAACGAAATCATTATATAGCACGTTCTTCGAATGATTAGAAAGATTGTCCTCCTGCTATTTATGCAAAATAGTATTTTAAAAAACAACATAACCTTTTTTCATATTTTTACATTTATAATCAAAAAATGAACATAACCTAAAAAACAATTTTCTTATATGAATGAAATATTTTAATAAAAATAAAATACACGCGGATGTAAATTGAGAAGAGGGTTTTTTTTTTCGGTTTCGAAAAAGTCACGAAACGTGTGTGTCAAAGAATTGGTTCGTGTATGAGAAGAATACAATGTAAGGTTATATATATATATGTCTCATCGTTGTGTGTATATATATTGCATGTTGGTCAGAATGAAAGTGTATATATATGAAATGTGTGGTATGTTAAGAACACCTCTAACGTTATAAGGAACTTTAGAGAACGGGAACGCGAACTTGGGGGCACTTGAGCCAAGTCGCCCGGATAATTTGAAAGCGATCCGATCTCACACACAGGGCAGCTGCCTGCCTTACGCGCGTAAAATTAAAATATTCAAGAACTGGTCCTTCTGTCGCGCCACAGTATATATATACTCGGTATTTTTTTTTTCTCTCTCAATACTATATATATATGACAGTTAAAAATTCAAAATGACTTTAAAAAATTTTTTTTTAAATTTTTTTAAATAGATTTTAACCAATCAAAATAGCTCATTAAATATTATTTTGCCGCGCAAGAGACTAAATTTAAGGTTATGTTTGCCCTTTGACTTTGGCCTATTTTAAGGTTATGTTTGCGGAAAATTACAGTACTTCGATATTTAATTCGAATAATATATTATTATTATTATTATTATTATTATTATTATATTTCTTTTATATATTTTTTTAAAACAATTTTTAAGTAATAATTGGATTTTTTGACAAACTTGTACAAATTTTATCAGCATTTGATAATTTTGTCATATAAAGTAAATCTTGTGGAAAAGAGGCGAATGGTGCATATTTTTTTCCATCACAATCATCGAATTTTACATTAAAAAATACTCTTAGTGTATTATATGTAAAGTCTTCGCCAGAGCCGCCAATTCCACAATCTGCAGAATTTGTTTCAAATAAATCAATCCGTATTGTTGCATTTGCATCACAATAAGCAAAATCAAGTTTATTACGTTCAAAATAATAATTGTCACCCACTTTAACAGTCTAGGGAAAATTATTTATGAAAAATAAAAATTTGTTTTATTATTATTTCATTATAATTAATATATATATATATATATATATATATATATTATTAATTTAGAAACTTATTTATATAAGACACAACTTACCCTCTTTTCAATACAATGTTCTTGTTTTGTAATAAATATTTTGTAAAAAATTTCTCTTGCAAATGCTGATGCAGCATTTTTAGGTGCTATTTGATGTATATCTTTACAGAGTGTAAAATAAGTGTTCACATCATTATGTTTCTTTGATTCATATTTTATACTCATATGTCCCTGTGAAAATGTTTTTCAAAAAAAAAAAAATTGTAATATAAATTTTTTTTTTTTAATTTTCACAAAAAAAAAAAAAATGAAAAAAATATTATATATAAAGCAAAATTTAACCCTTTTTTTTGTGGGAAATTTAAAATATTTTTTATTACTTTTGATATTTTGACCCTAACCTTTAATTGATGTTGATCATACAAATTCAAGACTTTTTTCCATGTGAGATCTAATTCTTGTCCGTACATATATTTTTTTTCAGCACTATTTCCCAATGTTCTTAGAGCCTCGTCTTCATTTGAACATTTGTCATTGGAATTAGTAACATTTATTGCATTACTATTACCAACTTTTTTTATTTTAAAATAATAATTTTTTGATGGATCACTTTCTTCCATAACTTGGACTCTTGCAAGAAAAATCTCCATGCAAACCTAAAAATTTAATTAAATTTATATAAATTAATTAAATTAATATGTATTTTGAGAAAAAAAAAATGGAAATTTTAAATATATATATACGTTTTTTTTTTAAGTTTTAAATCTGTCTGAAATTTTTGAGGTTATGTTTACCCGCCGATAAACAATCTTAAGGGTCAAAAATAGTAAAAAAATATTTTTTTTTTATACATCACTTACCACATATTTGAAAATTAACAAAAAAATGACAATTTTAGACATAATCTATATATTTTTTTCAAATTATTTTTATTTCACAAAAATATAACAAATGCGTATATATATACACTCCTATTTGCTATATTATACTTTGTTGGTCAAACGGCTGAAGACTTATTAATTTTATGAATTTTTTTTTTTATATATATATATAGTAAATAAAAAAAAAAAAAATTGTTAATATATTTTTCTGACAAAAATATTGTAAATATTTTTTTCTGATTAGATAAAAATTAATTGATCATATTTTACGTAATTTTTTTTTTTCAAAAATAAGTTAAATATATAAGAACTTTATAATTATATATTTAAAAAAAAAAATTAGATAAAAATTAATTGATCATACATTTGACGTCAGATATACGCTTATTTAAAATAATATTTTCTAATAAGTTATTATAATATTTATAATAAGAACTTTTAATATTTTTTATTATTAAAAAATATAAATCCACATTTATTAAATTTTAAAATTTTTACATATAATAATAAATGAATATATATATATATATAAATTTAAAGATAAATAATTTTTATAAAAGGAAATTTTTTTAATTATTTGTCATAATTTATTTTTAATTATTAAATTTATTATTAATTATTAAATTTATTATTAATTATTAAATTTATTATTAATTATTAAATTTATTATTAATTATTAATTTATTATTAATTTATTATTAATTTATCATTAATTTAGTATTAATTTAGTATTAATTTAGTATTAATTAATAAAATTGAATGAAATAAGTAAACTGAAATTAGATTTGAATTTCCCGCCATTATAACTGTCTGGTAGATGGCAACAAGATTCGTTGAAAATTAATAAATTACAATTATAATAAATTACGAATAATTAATTAAAAATAATAAATTAAAATTAATAAATTACAATTAATGAATTACAAATATGAAATTAGTCAATGACAGTTAATTAACTAATTAAAATAAAATTATAAAAATGGAAATAATTTTTAATTCGAATAAAAAAAAAAAAAAAATTTATTTATTTACATTAAATACAAATTTATTCACTTATAAAGTTAAATAAATATATTATTCATAGAATTATTGTTCCAGTTTTTCATTTTTTTTTTTTTTGCCAAAAAATTTTTTTTTTTTTAAAGAATAATTGGATTTTTTGATATTTCTTGTGTCACATCAAGTGAGTCTCCTAATTTTGCTTGTGCAAGAATACTCCGTGAAAAACCTTTAAATGGTGCCCATTTTTTTCCATCACAATCATCAAATTTCACATTAAACAAAACTCGAAGTGTTTTATAATCAATTATTTCACCTGATCCACCAATACCACAATCGGCAGCAATTTTTGAATTCATTTCAAAACGTATTGTTGCATTCACATTGCAATGAGTAAAATCAAGTTTTGAAAGTTCCCAATAAAATTTATCGCCCACATTAACTGTATTCTATATAAAAATTAATTTTGAGGAAAAAAAAAAATTATAATTATATATTTTTTGAAAATTTTAAAATATAAATAAAAATTTTTTATAATTATAAATAATAATAATAATAATAATAATAATAATAATAATAATTATTATTATTATTATTATTATTATTATTATTATTATTATTATTATTATTATTATTATTATTATTATTATTATTATTATTATTATTATTATTATTATTATTAATATACCTCTGCTTCAACGCAATCATAAAATTTTTCCAGTCTTTTGATAAAAACTTGGAAAAATATATCCCTTGCTAATGACATTTTATCGTCTTCCTTTCTTGTCAGATCTTTACAAACTGAAAATGGAGTATTCACTTCTGGATATTTATTTGATTCATATTTAATAATCATTCGACCCTGGAAATTTTTTTGTTTTTTTTTAAATTAAAATTTCTTTCTTTTTTCCATAAAAATAATTATTTAGAAAAAAAAATTTTTTTTTAAATATTTAAATTCATAAATTTTTATGGAGGAAAATTAAGAAAAAAAATTAATCATTACATAAAAATCATGTTGGTTGTAAAGACGTAGGCCATTAATCCATTTTAATTTGAGTTTTTCACCAAAGACATATTTTTTGTGTAATTCATTACCCAATGATTGCATAAGATCACTCTCTCTGGATGAGGTTGTATCATTAGAAATATTATTATTTCCAATAGTATTGCCAATTTTTTCAAATCGAATAATTTTATTTGTTAATGGATTTGTATCAACCATAAGCATCATTCTTGCAAGAAAAATTTCCATTGATATCTATTTTTATTAATGGAAATTTAAAGAAAAAAAGTAGTTATTAGTTTTTCTTTATTTATTATTAATTTTTTTTTTTTTAATAATAAATTTTTACATTTTTTTAAAATAATTTTATTATAAATAATTTTTTTTTTTTTTTTTTTTTTTGCTATAATTACCACAGAATTAACAGTTATTAATAATAGAAGTAAAATTTTAGCCATGTTAATAATTTATTTGGTGTTTACTTTAAAAAAGAAACTAAAAATTTATTAGGAAAAATATTATATTTATATCTAGTAAATGTGGAAAATGTGAAAAAAAAATGTTTGACTCAATATAGTTATGATTAGATAAACATTAATTAGTCACTTTTAATAATTGATAAAACATCATAAAGAGAAAATATTAGTCTTGAAATTATTTTTATTTTTTAACAGGGTATTTTTATTCAAAAGTTTTTAGGCAAAAAAAAAAAATTAAAAATTATTCAATTTAAAATTTTGGTTAATTGTCCCTCTATATCTGGGTAAATAATTTGAAAAATTTCAAATTATTTAAAATGTAAAAAGTGTGAAAAATTGTTCTTTTTTTTTGCTTTTGTTGAGCAATTGGCTAAAAATTGAGATATAAGGAAAAAAGTACAAAAAAATTAATTTAAAAATTATTCAATTGATTTAAAATTTTTATTTACTTTCTCTTGTTGAGGAATTTGGTTAAAAATTGAAAAAGAGGAAAAAAAATATAAAAAATTAATTTAAAAATTTTTCAATTTATTTTAAATTTTGGTAAATTGTCCCTCTTTATCTGTGTAAATATAATTCCTAAAATTTCAAATCATTTAAAATGTAAAAAAGTGTGAAAAATTGTTGTTTACATTCCCTTGTTGAGCAATTTGGCTAAAAATTAAAAAAGAGGAAAAAAGTACAAACAAATCAAATTAAAAATTATTCAATTGATTTAAAATTTTGGTTACTTGTCTCTCTATTATCTGGGTAAATAATTTGAAAAATTTCAAATCATTTAAAATGTAAAAAGTGTGAAAAATTGTTCTTTTTTTTTTTGCTTTTGTTGAGAAATTGGCTAAAAATTGAGATATAAGGAAAAAAGTACAAAAAAATTAATTCAAAAATTATTCAATTGATTTAAAATTTTTATTTACTTTCTCTTGTTGAGGAATTTGGTTAAGAATTGAAAAAGAGGAAAAAAAAATATAAAAAATCAATTTAAAAATTATTTAATTGATTTAAAATTTTGGTTAATTGTTTGTCTATATCTGGGTAAATATAATTCCTAAAATTTCAAATCATTTAAAATGTAAAAAAGTGTGAAAAATTGTTGTTTACGTTCCCTTGTTGAGCAATTTGGCTAAAAATTTAAAAAGAGGAAAAAAGTACAAACAAATTAATTTAAAAATTATTCAATTGATTTAAAATTTATGATAATTGTCCCACTATATCTGGATAAATATCTCATTAAATTTCAAATCGTTTAAAAATATAAAAAAAAAGGTTAAAAATTGTTGTTTACGTTCTCTTGTTGAGCAATTTGGCTCAAAATTTAAAAATAGAAAAAAAGTACAAACAAATCAAATTAAAAATTATTTAATTGATTTAAAATTTTTGTTAATTGCCCCTCTATATGTGGGTAAATAATTTCTAAAATTTCGATTAATTCAAATTGTAAAAATAGCTAAAAAAAATAGTTGTTTATATTTTCATACAAAATTGGAAAATTGGAAAAAAAATCAAAGAAATAGATCAACTGTATTTTTTTTCATATATATACATATACATATACATATATATTTTGTCAACATTGTCTGTGACAATAAAATAAAAATTAATTAATAAATAAATTAATAAATTTAAATTAATATATTTTTTTTTGTTTAGCTTTTGAAATTTTTTTTTTTTTTAAAGAATAATTGGATTTTTTGATATTTCTTGTGTCACTTCCAGTGATTCTTCTAATTTTGCTTGTGCAAGAATACGCGGTGATAAACCTTTAAATGGTGCCCATTTTTTTCCATCACAATCATCAAATTTCACATTAAACACAACTCGAAGTGTATTATAAATATGTGTTTCACCCGCTCCACCTCCAGTAACACCACAATTGCCAACAATTTTTGACTTCATTTCAAAACGTATTGATGCATTCACATCGCAATGAGTGAAACCACGTTTTGATAGTTCCCAATAATATTTATCGGCCACATTAACTGTATTCTACAGAAATTAATTTTGAGAAAAAAAAAACAATTATATCATAATATATTTTGAATTTTTAAAAATTATAAATTTTTTTAATTATAAATAATAATAATATTATTATTATTGTTAATATACCTTTTCTGCAACGCAATCCCAAAATTTTTCTAGTCTTTGAACAAAAATTTTAAAAAATATATCTCTTGCTAATGTCATTTTATCGTCTTCTTTTGTTAGCGGATCTTTACAAACTTTAAATGGAGTATTCACTTCTGGATATTTATTTGATTCGTATTTGATAATCATTCGACCCTGAAAATTTTTTGTTTTTTTGAATTATAAATTTTTTTAAAATTTTTTTCTCTACAATTATTTATAACAAAAAAATTGTAAAAAAAAAATTATAATTCATTTGGATGAAATTAAAAAAAAAAAAAAAAAAAAGTTATTACGTAAAAATCTTCTTGATCGTAAAGACGTAGGCCATTAATCCAATTTAAATTGAGATCTTCACCAAAGACATATTTTTTGTGTAATTCATTACCCAATGATTGCATAAGACCACTCTCTCTGCATGAGCATGTATAGTTAGAAATAATATTTTTTCCAACAGTATTGCCTATTTTTTCAAATCGAAGATATTTATTTGTTGATGGACTTGTATCAACCATCAGCATCATTCTTGCAAGAAAAATTTCCATTGAAATCTATTTTTATTCATCGAAATTTGAATAAAAAAAAAAAAATAGTTATTAGTTTTTTTTTTAAATAATAAATTTTATTTTAAATAATTTTTTCTTTTTTTTGCTATATTTACCACAGAATGAACAGTTATTAATAATAGAAGTAAAATTTTAGCCATGTTGATAATTTTTTTTGTGTCTATATTTTAAAAAAAGAGACTAAAAATTTATTATGAAAAAATTTTATATTTATACTAAATGTAGAAAATGTAAAAAAAAAATTATTTAACTCAATGGTTATGATTAGATAAACATTAATTAGTCACGTTTAATAATGTTATGTGAATAAAAAATAATATAGTCCTAAAATTAGTTTTATCTTTACATATTTATATAGAGGGTATTTTTATTCAAAAGTTTTTCGACAAAAAAAATTATTGAATTTGAAATTTTTATAAATTACACAAAAAAAAAATGTAAATTTTTTTTTTTAATGTAAAAAAGAGTAAAAAAAAATGTTTACATTAAATTGTAAATTCTCAATTTAAAATTTTTTCAGTTTATTTGAAATTTTGGTAAATTGTCCCTTGTATATTTGCGAGTAAATAATTCCTAAAATTTCAAATAATTTAAAATTTAAAAGAAGGGTAAAAAAAAGTTCTTTTTTTTGCTCTTTTTGAGCAATTGGCTGAAATATTGAGAAAAACAGAAAAAAAAGTACAGAAAAATCAATTTAAAAATTATTTAATTTATTTGAAATTTTGGTAAATTGTCCCTCTATATATCTGGGTAAATAATTTTTAAAATTTTTTTAAATTTTAAATGTAAAAAAGGGTAAAAAATTGTTCTCTCTTTTTCTCTTGTTGAGCAATTTCGGTGAAAATTTGAAAAAAAAAGGAAAAAAATACCAAAAAATCAAATTAAAAATTATTCAATTCATTTGAAATTTTGGTAAATTTTTGCTCTATATATGAGTAAATAACTCCTAAAATTTTAAAGAATTCAAAATGTTAAAAAAGGATAAAAAATAGTTGTTTTTTTCTTGTTTGGAGTAAAATATTGAAAAAATTTGTAAGAAAATGAAACAATTAAGAAAATTATCAATTTAAAAATTATTCCAGACTTAAAATTTTGGTAAATTTTCGTCCTTTATGAGGGTAAAAAATTTCGAAAAATTTCAACACATTTAAAATGTAAAAAATAGTTGAAAATTGTATGTTTTGTTTCGGTTTCTTTCAATGACAATTGGAAAATAAGGAAAAAAATTAAAGTATTCTTTTTTTTTTATCTTCTCTAATATATATTTTGTCAACATTGTCTGTGACAATAATATACATATATTAAAAAAAAGGAGAGAGAGAGAGAGAGAGAGAGAAAAAAAATGACCACTAATATTATAAAAGAAGTCATTAGAGTGTAAAACTCGTGTTTTTGAATTTTTTACTGAAAATAATTTTGACCTGAAACACGATCTGCTATTTTGCTATTGATACTCTGTATTGATTACAAAAGTAGCATTAAAAAAAATTTGTTTTTTTTATTTTTTTTTTTTTAAACGACAATGAAAAATCATGATAAAATTTTGCACTATTTTCAAGAATATCGATTACATTTGATATATTTAGACTCTTGTAAGTATAAACATTTTCATTGTTCGTCGTTTTAAGGGTCATTTTTTTTTCTTTCTCTCTCTCTCTCATTCCAAACCACCACAAAATCGTGCCGAAAATTCACTTGTGCGGTCTCTCAAATTTAACCTAATCCTCTTTTAAAGATCCGACTCCTATTTGCTTTGTAATCTGATATCCATTTGCCAAACTATATTATAAGCAAAAAGGACAAAAATAAATTGAAAAAAAAAAATTTCTATTTTTTCTAAATTCAATTTACCGGTTTTTTTTTATAATCGGAAAAGCAATTTAAAAAAAAAAAAAAAAAAAAAACGGTAGCAAAAATAAAATAAAAGTTTGAAAAAAAACTATAAAAAATAACTTGCGTGAAATAAAAGATAAAGAATATAATTATATGCGAAAATATAAAATATAAATATTAAATAATATTTTTAAAAAGAATTTTTTTTTTTTTTTTTGTTTATATAAAATCAAATTTTAATTTTTATTATTTAGAATATTTTTTTTATTTAATAATCAGAAATAAATATTAAAAATAAATAACGATAAAATAGAAAAAATACATAAAAATTACCATGAAGAGAGATAAAAAATATTAACAGAAAAAGAAACAAAAATCATGGTAATAAAGAAAACAAAAAACTTTTTTTTTTTATCAAGAAAAATGTCCAAGATTTGATGTGAATCACCTGGTTATTTACGCTACTTGCACAAATATATATATATATATATATATATATATATATATTTAGACAAAACTGAGATGTTAATTTATTTAGTTTTATATTTACATGATTCTTTTGCTGTCGATAAGAAAAAGTCAACGACTATTATCGTCGGTTTGTTTTTGTACCTTTGAGAGGTCATACGATAGGACAAAAAAAAAGAATGATAGGATGGCACGCGATACGTTTTTTTTTTTTTTTTTTTTTTTGAGGTTAAAAGTGAATTTTTTTTTTTTACATCTACTAACACGTTTTCCTGTTTGCTTTACTTATACATATACATAAAAGAGATAGGTGAGCTAAAACGGGGGGGGAGAGGGGGGTAAACAACGACTCCTTTCAGCCAATCCAAAAAAAAAAAAAAAAATTTTTTTCTCTCACTTTCCTTTTCGCTTCTGCGATATAATATTCGCTGATAACTCTTGGGCACGCGCCTATCTTTATATTGTATATATGTATGTATATATGTTTATCTCGCCTTGGATTGACACGATCAAATATTGTTGTAACTTATAAAAATTATAATTTGTTTTCAAAAAAAAAAAAAATATTTTTTCTCTCTATAAAATTTTCTTTGAAGCTAAAAATAATTTCATTTTTTTTTGTTTTTTGTTTTTTAGGTTAGGTTTACGTTTAAAAAAATATGAAAATCACAAAGTTGACGCGAAAAAAGTGAGGTTATTTATAAAAAATTTTTCGAAAATTCCTTAATTATCTTTTGGGGAAAAATAAATCCTAATAATTTGTCAATTTATTTTATATTTTGGATTGATCAAAAACTTGTTTTGATTCGAATTTTTTGTTACGATTTAGTTTTCATTAAAAAAACATTTTCGATGTCCTCTTCTTGATTCGTCCGTATTTATTATTTCTATAATAAAATTCGCCGTGTTCAAAGTTAATTAGCAATCTGAAACAAAATGAAAAAATATATAAAAAGATATAGTAGAAAAATTCTTGACTCGTTTATATTTATTTACTTTTCTATGTATATGAGTTGAAACAGAGAGAATAAAAAGCAAGGTTGAGTGACGAAGCATCAAAAAATTTCTGATTGGTTGGTTATATTTCCGGAAATATTACGAGCCAATCAGAAATATTCGTTGTGTCATTTACCCAACCCTGCTTATTCTCTTTTGTCCTACCATCAGCTGATTTTTTATTTTTATTGAAAAACACATTTTATATAATAAATATAATAATAATAATAATAATAATAATAAATATAATAATTATAATTTTATATTATAATAATATCGATATTTTTGAATAAGCAATTTTGTTTCAACTGTAAAAAAAAAATTCCAAAATACAATTATTGGAAATATTATTCTTAACCTAAAATCTTTCACACTATAAGTAGATTTCAATCGAAACGTTTAAATGAAATACACAATACTTTTTTTTCTTTTAAAGAAATAAAAGTAAATTTTTTTTTTTTTTTTTCATAAGAACGAATGATGAGGTGGAAAAAAAAACCCGGACTATTTTGCTTTTTTTTATTCACGTCAATATATATACAAAAAGATCGCCGGGATGGAATCGTTGAGAATTGGACACGGTTTAGTTGTCGGCGATCATTTCTGCTTTGATTTAATTTTTTTTATGCAAGACCTTTACTCTGTTCACTCGATTCGTTTGAATGATTTTTTGAAGGAAAAAAAAAATATATATATATATATCTTGAGTTGTGTGCCCTCCTCTACAAGCAAGGTAATCCGGACCCCCGCGAATGCGTCGGTTTTACGCCTCAATGACTTCGATAAAATATATATACATATAGCATCTCTTTCGAAAAGGCACGTGACGAAAAGTTATATTCTTCTCAAAAACGTTTCTTTATTTTTCAAAACATTTTTTTTTCTGCTCCTTTAGAATAATAATCGTTTAGATTTGGATCTTTTCAATGACGATTTTGAGGTTATGTGTTTTAAAAAAATTATTTCAAGGCTATAGCGAAATAGATATTCTGAGAAACATAACCTATAAAAACACGATTGTTTTTTTGTATCGAAGCATATAAGTATTTGAAATTTCGAAATTGAATATTGATAACATAACCTTAAAAATGAGTTTTCTAGGACTTACTTATTGAAAAATATACTTCGCACCTTTAAATCGAAATTAAATAACAATAATAATAATAATAATAATAATAGTAATAATAATAATAATAGTAATAATAATAATAATAGTAATAATAATAATAATAGTATAATAATAATAACAATAATAATAAATTGACTAATTAAAATTCATCATTGTATTGTTTTTGTATACTTTTGGCCCGTGGCTCTGGCCAAAGTCAGTAAGTGTCGAACTTTGTTTCGTTCGAGCGCAACGTTCACCTGCCTTCACGCTGGAGTGACTTGTAAATCACTCCACCGAAACTGGGGTACGTGCGCTCCTCAAAAAAAAGGAAAAAAAAAAAAAACTTAATCGACGCAAAACACAAAAGTGGATTAAAGAATATACATGTAATTTCTAACCGCACACATATATATACTATATATTTTCCATATCACCCCGAGAAAAGATTTCTTTGATTTAAAGAAACCATATTTATAGTTTCTTTGACTTGTTTTCTTTCATTCAACAGAAAATTTTCTTTGAAACAAAAAAAAGCTTCTTAGTTACAAAGAAAATTTCTTTGATTCAAAAAAAATTTTCTTTTAATGAAAGTAATTTGTGCATTAAAATCAAAGAAATTCTAAGGTCAAAGAAACATTTATTTAAATTAAATAACAAATTTCTTTGAAACAAAAATATTTTTTTTTTGAATCAAAGATAATTTTTTTGAAACAAATAAATTTTCTTTGAATCAAAGACAATTTTTTTGAAACAAATAAATTTTCTTTG